AAACATAGTGTTCTCATATCACCCAGCAATTCCACTTCTGGGTATATACCCAAGAGAAATAAAAAACATGTCCACACTGCCTTCGGCTCAGGTCATGATCCTGGAGTCCCGGGATTGAGTCCCGCATCGGGCTCCCTGCTCGGCGGGGAGTCTGCTTCTCCCTCTGACCCTCTTCCCTTTCATGCTCTCTATCTCTCATTCTCTCTCTCTCAAATAAATAAATAAAATCTTTAAAAAAAAAAAACTTTATGTGATTACTACCTCCTGCTGTGAAGAACAGACCCTGGGCTCTGCACTAAAATTACCCTGTAGCTGCCTCCCACTCCCCCACCCAAAGAGCTCTTCCCTTCTTTCCTCCTAGGCACAAGGGCAGAGAATTGCACTGGGCTGGGGGAGCCCTGCAGACCCATGACTCTGGAAGCCTGAAGACACTGCCTTCCCTCACCATTAGCTGGCCCTTTTGTTCTCTGAGCAGGAGACTTACCTGTGAACAAGCCAGACCAATCAAACTAGAGTTCGCATTGTTAAAAAAAAAAAAAGAGAGATAATCAAACATGTAAATGGATTTTTATAACAGCATTATCCACAATAGCAAAATGTGGAAATAATGTCCACCAACAGGTGGATAAACAAAATGTGGCTGTTGTGGGATGAATTTGTCCCAAAATTTATATATTGAAGTCCTAGCACCTAGTACCTCAGAAGGTGATGGTATTTGGAGATCGGGTCTTGAAAGAGGTAATTCAAGTTTAGTGAGGGCATGAAGGTGGGCCCTAATGCAATGACTAGTGTCTTTGTAAAGAGAGATTAGGACACAGGCTTGCCCATACAGAAGGAAGACCATGTGAAGACACAGGGAGAAGAAACAGCCCTGGTGACACATTCATGTTGGGCATTGAGCCTGTACAATTATGAGAAAATACTGTGTTGTATTGAAGCCACCACTCTGTGGTACTTTGTCACGGCAGCCCCTGCAAACAAATACAGTGGCATAGCCACACAATGGACTATCATGCAGCCATAAAAAGGAATGAAGTAGTGATATACACTATAACTGGGATGAACCTTGAAAAACATTCTGCCAAGTGGAAAAAAACAACACTAACCCAGTCACAAAAGACCACACGTTCTATGATCACATTCAGATGAAATTCCAGGATAGGGAAATCCAGTGATGAAAGTAGATTAGTGGTTGCTTATGGCTTCAAGGACTGGGGGTGGGGTGGGTGGAGTGGTCTTTTTATTACAGAGTTGTGGTTATGTGTAAAATTGCTATAAACATTCTTGAACAAGTTTCCTGTAGGTACATATTTCTAATTATCTTGCACAGATACCCAGGAGTGAAATTACTAGATCATAGTGTAGATCTATGTTTAATTTTTACAAGAAATGCCAAATTGCTTTTCATAGTAGTTGTGCCAGCTTATACTCTCATGAGCAATACGTAACAGTTCCAGTTTCTCCACAGCCTTGTTAACGTTTGACATTGTCTGTCTTTCACATTTTAACCATTCTAGTAGATATGTTGTACTTGCTATTGTGGTGGCTTTGTGTTTTTCGTGGTGACTTGAGGATTCATCCTAATACCGTTTTTACAAATGGGTTATCTCCAAATGTTTTTAGACCTTGGCTAGAGGCCAATCAGTTGCTCTTCTTGAGCTGCTGGTTAAGTGCACACCCTAACTACCTCTCTCATTGGGGCTTACACTCCGGGACACTATACACCTGCCCTAATTGTCCCAGGACCAGGTACCAGACAACCAGGGACAGCCCCTCTTCCTCAGAGTCTGCTGAAATTATTCAAAGTAGCAGTCCTAAGCCTGCTTACCTTGCCTCCATCGTTCCTTCCCACAGAAACAGCAATAAAGGTGCTTGCCCACAGTTCTCTTCTCTCCCGTGGCCTTGTGTAGATCATGGCACTTCCACAAAGTGACCTCACATGGCATGCTGTGTTCTCCCCTGGGAACTGTGAGTATAATAAATTGTAAAATTCTCCACTTTCTCTCTCTTGATCTGCATCACCATACCTTACCCAAAGTAATATGGTTAAAACACTCATGCTGTGGACTTTTTTGTTGTTGTTGTTCTTATTGTCCATTTGTCTATCTTTTGTGAAGTGTCTGTTCACATCTTTTGCCCATTTTTTGTCTTTTATTTTCATCCTATTAAGTTGTATGAGTTCTTTAGATATGCTAGAGAGAAGCCCTTTTTGGATATATGTATTATAAATATTTCATGTCAGCCCATAACTTCATTTTCATTGCCCTAATGGTATCTTTTGATGAGAAATTTTTAGTTTTATTGAAGTTCAATTTATTTATTTTCTTTTTAAGGTTAGGGCTTTTTCTTACTCCAAAGTCATGATGATATTCTACCATATATTTTATTCTAGAAACTTCATGGTTCTTTATATCTCTGATCCACCTCGATTTAATTTGGGGGTATGGTGTTAGATATAGGTTGAGGTTAATTTTCCCAAGTTTATCCAGTTGTTCCAGCACGATTTTTTGAAAGAACTATCCTTTCCTGCATTGAACTGCCTTGGAGTTTTTTAGGACAAATGACTGTATGAGTATAATCTATTTCTCGATCCTCTATTTTGTTCCACTTATCAATTTATCATTATACCAACACCACATGGCCTTGATTTTAGCTTCATAGTAAATCTTGAGTTCAGGTAGTGTAAATCCCCCAGCTTTATTCTTCTTTTAAAATACCCTTAAGTATTCTAAGTCCTTTGCATTTCCACATGCTTACAATCAACAGCAATTTCTGCAGAAGTGCCTGTTGGGATTTTGATTCACCATTGAGTGTATAGTTCAACTTGAGGAAAACTGACTTCTAAACATTTTTCGGTCTTCTCAGCCATGATTATGGCACATCATTCCATTTAGTTAGGTATTCTCCAGCTTCTCACAACAAAATTGTGTAATTTTCAGGTATGTGTTTTGTTAAATTTATTCCTAAGTATTTTATGTTCTCTAAAAATGGAACTTTTCTCTTTTAAATTTCATTTTAATTTATCTGCTGTAATATAAAAATTCAAATTGGGGGCATATACTGTCCTTGAAACTATAAATCTTTCCCACAAAGAAAACTCCAGGTTCAGATGACCTTAATGTCAACTGTACCCACGATTTAAGAAAGAAATAATATGACATTAATATCTCTTTCAGAAAATAAAGAAGGAACATTTCCCATCTCAACACCGATACTAAAACCTAAGATATCATGAGGAAAAAAATTGTAGACCAAAATCAGTAATAAGCATACACACAAAAATCTCCAAAAAAACCAAAAAGAAAAAAAAAACCCCACAATTAGCAAATGGAATTCAGCAATATATATAAAGGATAATATATCATGACCAGGTGGGGCCTAACCTAGGAATGCAAGGCTGGTATGACATTCTAAAATGAATCAAAGTAATTCACCATCTTAAGAAGGAAAGAAACCAAAAGATCGTGTCAATAGTTGCTTTTTATGTATTTGACAAAACTCAGTACCATTCATGAGGACTCTCAATAAGCTACAAATAAAACTTTCCCAGTTTGATAAGGGAGTATGTATGAAAATGAATAGCTAACATACACTTTATGATAAAATATTTAATGTTTTTCCCCTAAGGTCAGAAACAAGGTTCTTCCATTCAACACTGTCCTGTAATATGTATAAAGTGTATAACAAAACAAAAGCATTCCCATGGCACCCTCACCCCCTATTTCCCTACTTCCAAGAGTAGACTACTTCCCATCCTCTTGTTTTGAATTCACTTCCATATTTCTGAAGTCTAATGCTTTTGTTAATTCATCAGTTTTAGGTATTAGCTGCTAGTGAGTGTGAAAGATGAGGGCTTAAGGTGTCTGAACAACCTATTTTCCTCTTTTCTCTCGTGCTGCTTGGTTTCCTCAGAAGGAATCCTTGAGTTGCCTGCCCGGGGCTCTCATTTAACCTTGTCTTCCGCACGCATGCCCTCTCTCATCCCTGCTTCAGGCCTGCCAGCCCAGAGACCCAGGGTCCAGCCTTTCCTGGAGTAAACGTCCAACCAGGCTGGAGAAGGGGTTTGGGGCCTGGAATAACAACTCGTTCCTTCGCTGCAGGCCAGGTTTGAGTCCCACTTGGTGTATGAATTCTGATTTTTGTGTAGCCTTTCAGGTAGTCTGTGTTTCCAGCCCTCCCCTTCAGAACGTGGCACTGGTGATCTCCGAGTGCGAATCTGTTCTGGGCTCCCCTTTACTTCAGGCTCAGTTGGGTAGATGAGCAGTTATCTGCCTCTCCCCAAAACTGTGTTGCTACTGCGTCCTCTCTCCTCCTGTGTCCTTGTGAATGTACATCTTGCTCTCTTCTCTCATTTTAGCGAGGTTCCAGGGAGGAGGAAAGGGTAACCTCCACTCAACCTGCCATACTCCTCTACAGAGGAATCACCCCCATCTCCTCAAGGACCTGCGACTACTGTTTTTCCTTATACTTTCTTCCTATCTCACCTCCAAATACATAGTGACATTTGTGTATTTGTTCAAGAAATAGTAAGTGAATGTCTACCATGTGTAGGCACTGGGACTTGAACTGTGATCAGGCCACAGTTCCTTGCCTATAGGAGCTTCCAGTTCAGAGGAGGGACAGGCAAGCAGTGAGGAAGTCTAAGGGGGCATAAGTGCCAAGCAGAGCATGGACATGGTGCCAGTGGAGCATAGAAGGGTTCCTTCCCAAGTTGGGGCATGAGGAAAGGCTACCCAGAGGGAGAGGTGTCTCAACGGAGACCTCAAGAGAGAATGGGAATTGGTCCAACCACACACATTTGTGCCCCAACAAGACCTTAGGGAGAAGAGCCAAGGACAGTCACAAAACCCAGCCATCCCACCTCCTCCCCGCAACCCTCATCCCTACTCTTGGGGACTCTGACCCTCAGCCCTACTCTTGGGGACTCTGCGGGGCTATCTCCTTGTCCTTGATATTCCGTCTGAGTGTGAGGAAGGCAGGAATCACCAAAGACTCAAATGGTCTTCTACCTACTCTAGGAAATGTGGGTAGGGGAATGTGCAGGGGCTTTATTTGTGGTCAAGGGCTGTGGTCTGAGGTTCGATTTCTGCTGCTTTTCCCCAAATTTCTGAAGTCATTTGATTTGAATTCTTTGCTTCTCTCTCAAACCGTAACCCGGGACTGTACCTCACCCATTCATCTGTCAGGAGAGCAGGAGGGGACAGAACATCCTATTCATGGCCCAGTTTTTTCCAAAGGAGTGAAACTTTTAGGAAGAAATTGAACAGATTCAATCTTGTATATTTATTGAGTAACCCAATCCTGGGTAAAGAAAAAAGAACACTAGGTTTTGGGACAGAGGTTGGGGAGGTGAGAAAAGTCCCCTCCCCTCCCACCACAGGGGGTGGGTCACTTATAAAACTCATGCTCCTGCTCGTCCTTCTTGATGACTGTCTTGTACGCTTTCTCGAAGTCCTTTGCCAGAACAATGTAGCGGTTCTCACGGACGGCCAACATTCCACTCTGTTGAGGGACGAGAGTTAAAATCTATTCCTCAGCCCTAGTGATGGTGGAGGGAGAGACCAGGCCCCAAGCCCCAGGGAGGCAATGTGGGACATCAGGATTGTGGCAGAGTGGTCTCAAAGAGGGTCTTCATACACCCCCTGCCAGGATCCAGACAGAAACCCTCACTCACCTCCTGACAGATGGAGTTAATATCAGCTCCTGAAATCTTATCTGGTCGGGCCACATCTGCAGCAGTTGAATTAAGGAAACCCCTTTCCCTGCATGAGGGGGTAAATGCCTGGAACCAGAAGTCATCCTCGAGCTGTCTTTGTCACCACCCCCACCCCTGGACCTTGGTCTCCTGCCCTGTACAAATTGGGTCACAGTGAAGGCAGAGATGGTGATGAAGATCCAGTGTCCGTTCCCAACCGGGACCCTCCCCTCACTTCCAGAGCAGGATACAATCTTCCAAGTCAACCTCCTCAGAGAGATTCATCTTGCTGGTGATAGTGGAGAAAATCAATCTCTTCTGGCGGCGGTCAGGGAGTGGAAATTCGATTTTACGGTCAAGGCGTCCTGGCCGCAGCAGGGCAGGATCCAGAGTGTCTGCTCTGTTTGTGGCCATGATCACCTGGCATTGCGGACAGGTCAGCTCAGACCTCTGTCCCCCCTACACCCTCTTTCCTGTCATGATACCTGCCCCTGCACACGCCAGCCTCCACCTTTCCCTGATTCCGATACCACACCTCCCCTTGCCCAGCCTGAATCCCGAACCTTGACATTAACGTTCTGGTCAAATCCATCCATTTGGTTCAGCAGCTCCAGCAGGATTCTCTGAACCTCCCTGTCAGCTGGAGAGCGCAACACGGTCAGTCCAAGGCATCCCGTACAAGCCCGCTCAAGACCCCAGACCCTTTTGAGGCATCACTCACCCCCTGTCTGGGCATCAAATCTCTTGGTGGCAATGGCATCAATCTCATCTATGAAGATGATGGCAGGTGCGTTCTCCTTGGCCAGGCGGAACACGTCCCGTACCATGCGGGGGCCCTCACCCAGGTACTTCTGTACAAACTCTGAGCCCACAACCCGGATAAACGCAGCTGATGGCAGAATGACAAGGGTTAGATGAGGAAGGGCCTCCCACAGGGCCTGTACTGCTTTACAGAAACTGCGAATCCCCTGAGTCTTCTTTGAACACCCTTCTTTGAACACCCACTCCAAGTAGCCCGGTCATTCTCTCATGCCCTGGGGCTGTGTCCCAGATCCTGCTGGGAGGACCGGCCATCTGTTTGCACCCCATAGCAACCCAGCAGCAACCCAAATCCTGAATCCAGGACCCCAAGCACATATTCTGACATAACCAACAAGTGGCAATGTAGTTGAAGACAGGCTGGTTCTGGGCCTCTCCTTTTGAACTTATTTCTTAAAGTCTAATGTATTTGTTAACGACTAGATGTGGCTCTGTGTGGCATGGAGCAACCTCCAGAACCCTCCTTTCAGCTACCACAGGGAAGGGAGCCACGCTGTCCATGATGCAGCCCTGGAGGTTTTCTGTCCTAACCAGGAGCTGTGCATGTGGCAGGCCTGCTCCGCCACGCCCTAACATCCAGAATCCACACCCAGCTCAAGGTGTTCCTCCTCTTCCATACCTACATCACCTGGGGGCTTGCTCAACCAACGGCAAGCCTCAGGGTATCTAAACACATCCCAGTGTTTGCTTTGGCCACACATTTACGTGGCCACTCTGCAGGTGTCCACACTGTTACCTGTGAAATCCCAACTTCTGAACTCCATTATGTGACTCGGGCCTCGGTCTGTCTGCCTTCCCCACACTCCACTGCTGCAGTGCCCTGTCCCCCGCCGCCCCCGCCCCCCGCCTCCCTTTCCCCGTCCTCCCAATCTCTTGTACTGTGTTTCAGTGAAAACCTCCTGGTCACCGAATTACAGCACGTCCCACACTCAACCCGTCTTCCCCCAACGCCAGTCCTGTGAGGGTCACCATTACCCAGCCCCCATGGCCCCCAGGAAGAAAGTGGAAGTTGCTCCTGACTCCTCCCACTTGCCAACCCCCTCTAGTCAGTCAGTAAATCCTGTCACTTCTACCCCCTGATTCTACCTTCTCTCTCCAACCCCTACCGCCAAGGCCTCTGCCCAAGGCTACAACAGTCAGTCCTCCAGATCACGCCAAAGTCTTTTAACTGGCTGTCAGATTTCTCCTTCCTCCAGTTCACTTCTAGCTGCCAGAATAATCTTTCAAAAAGCTTATCTAAGATGTAATGTATGGTGATTAACATAACATAAAAAGAAAATCTTATCTAATCATACCACTTTTCTAACGGGGTAGCCACTGGCCACATGTGGCTGCTGGGGAACAGAAATGTGGCTGGTCCAAAATGAGATAGGCTGTCACTGTGAAATAGTCACCAGACTTCCAGAGACTTAGTACAAACTAGTGTAAAATATCTCAACAAATGTCCACCAACCAACGTCCAGATAAAGAAAACACGGTATATACATACAGTGGAATATTATTTGGTCTTAAAAAGGAATTCTATTTTGACACCTGCTCCAGCAAGGATGAGCCCTAAAGACAACAGGCTAAGTGAAAAAGGCAGTCATGAAAACACAAATGTAGGATTCATCTACTTCTATGAGATACTCATGCATGACAGTCAAATTCCTTGCCACTGGAAGTAGAACAGAGGTTATCGGGTTTGGGGGCGAGGGGGTGTGGAGAACACAGTTAGTGTCTAATGGGTCTGGAGTTTTAGTCTGGGACCATGGTTCTGTCCCAAGTTCTGGAAATGGGACAGGGGTGGAGGCTGTGCAGCACTGTGAATGTTCTTAATGCCACTGAATTGTACACTTAAAAATTGGTTAAAACACTAATCTTTGTTATATATATTTTACTATAGTAAAAAAATAATAGAAAAAATCTCCAATTTTATATCTACTACATGTTAAAATAATAGTACTTTGAGTATACTTGTTAAATAAAATATATTAAGTTCACCTACTTTTTGTACTTATTTCTTTTAGTGGGTACTTAAAATCCTTAAATTCTATATGCAGCTTGCATTGTACTTCTATTGTCCCCTGCCTGTCTAAAACCACCCTGCTCTCAGGACAATGTGCAAAATCCCTGAGATTCGTGCTAAGACTATATTCACACCCCTTCTGAGCTCTCCAGCCTCACCCCTGGGGAACCTGCCAAGCACAGCCCTCCTTCAGCCAGCCCGCCAACATCGGCCGAGCAAGTACCACAGTGCGTTACTGGGCAGGTGCAGGAAACGCAGGAAAGAATGAATGTACAAGGTCCTACCCTTGTGGAGTTTCGTCATGGTCTACTCACAACTCAATAAAAAGTTCTTTCCCACCCTGGGCCTTTGCACATACTATTCTGGGATGCTCTCTCCCAATTGTGTGCCTGACAAATCGCTCATGCCTCGCTTCCTCTGGGAAGCCCTACCTGAGAGGCACAGCCAGAATGGACCAACGCGCCCTCCCGTGAGGGCGATCCCACTTCTCTCCCTGCTTCCCCGGGGCATCACCGCTCTGCAGACTGCTCCTACTCAACCTCCCCTCCCAACTGTGAGCCCTCTCGCTCACTCACTTCAGCTGCAGGGGCCTCCTTGTTATTCCTGGAACACTAAGCACATTCCCGCCCCACCAGATAGTCTGGCCACCTGATACATGCCTCCCCCAGACATCCATGTGACTCATTCCCTCATGTCTTTATGTGAACATCACCTCATAAAAGTCTTCCCTGACCACCCCCCAGTTCTGCCATATAAAGTGGCAGCCCTTTGTCCTGCTTCCTCTCATCATGCATTCAGCACCACGTGACCTATAATCTGTTCACCTGTTTATCTGTCCAAGGACTTCCCCAACTAAGACATCACCTCCACGAAGAAAGGAGACTTTGTTCTGTTCACTGCCATGTCTCCTGCACCTAGAGCGTGGCTTGGCACACATTAGGTACTCAATAAATAGTAACTGAATGAGTTCTACGTGTTTTTCTTTTTCCCCAGCCACACTGGGAGGTTCTCCAACACGGGACACGTCTGAGCTCAGCTCAGGGCCTGAGAGAGCAGAAGTCCAATGAACCACTAAGCAAACGAATGTTCAGGATAATGGCTGGCATTTCTTGTCCACTCTCTACGTGCCAGGTATGGTTCTAGAAGCTTTATATTGATTTAATCCTCCGAATAACCCAGACAGATAAGAAACGGGAGTCACAGAGAGACTAACTTATTAAGTAGTGACATACACTAGCTTACATAGGGGAGCCAGATTTCAAACCCACTCAGCCTGGCCCAGAAAACCCACTGCTTAACCACTGCCTTCTATTGCCCCTGGCTCACACGCGTTAAGATTTTAAGATGTGCCGAACCCGAATCTCAGGCTAATTTACAAACAGTAACAGAGCGACTTTCAGACGTTTTTGTCTGGAACCTATAAGAAATACGTGTATAAACAACCACAAGTGTATGTGTGTGCACAAAAGGTTTCACGAAGTAATATGAGCTCTTACTATGTGGGATGGAAGCTGATGTTTCCAGTTTCATTTTTTTACACGCTGGTTGCAACCCATGAATTTGAACTCATGGTTACCAATGGGTGACATCCCACTGTGAAGCAAGTCTTCTGTTAGACAAGGGGACTGAGGCATGAGGCAGTGAAGCCACCTCCCCAGGACGGCACAGCCAGTGAGAGGCAGCCTGGGGCTTTGACCCCACAGCCCCCGTTCTTAATCGCCACACCTTGCCACTTCCTGGGGAAGATGAGAAAGCAGGGAGCAAGGTCCCAAGAGCCCAGAAGGTCAGAGCTCCAGGGAAGGGCCCAGCGGCTCACCTGTCGTGTGATGAGCCACGGCCTTTGCCAACATGGTCTTCCCGCAGCCGGGTGGGCCGTACATGAGGACGCCTCGGGGAGGGTCGATGCCGATCTGAAATGCAGAGGTAAAGGATGAGCCAGGGAGTCGCACCACCAACGTGAGACGGGGCGGGGCGGGGGGACCTGTCCCTTCCCTGGCACTTCCAGCCCCTCACCTGCTTATAGAGCTCAAAGTGTGTAAGCGGGAGCTCCACAGCCTCCCGCACCTCTTGCTTCTGGATGTCCATGCCCCCGATGTCTGCATACATCACGTCTGGCTTCTGGTCTGGTGGGAGAGCAGAGCAGGGGCTCCCAACCTGGCCCACAGGGTCCCCTCAGGCTTCCCCAGCCCTGGGCTCCCCCTCTCACCTGAGGTGAGCATCATGATGCTGCTGTCTGCCTCGGGAGGCAGCACGTCCACCAGGGCATTGCTGTGCTTGTGGAGGGCCACCGAGGCATTAGGCTTGAGCAGCTCCCGGTCAATGGTGCTCAGGATGCGCACATAGTAGTTGGAGCCTTTGGAAGACAGGAAGGGAGCAGGGAAAGTCAGAAGTGCCGAGAACCTCAAAACTGTCTCCTCCCCCAAATCTTACAGTCGTAGCCTCCAGGCCACCAGTATCTTTCATTCAGACCCCGAACGGCCCTCCTGGCCTCTAGTCTTGCCTCCTCCAGTCCATCCCCACATTCGTGACGACAGCTTCCTTGTCCATCTCCAGCCCCGACGGTCTCTCAAGCTCCAGCCCTAGGTGAGCAGCAGCCTCCTGGAATGTGTTCCCCCGCATGTCCCCAGGGTCTCCCTCACTCACTGTGCTGCTCCTCTTGGGTCCCTGTCTCAGGGAGGCCCGTGGTCCCTAGTCACCAGCTAGAGTCCCAAGCCTCATGCTGGACCTTTCTCCCCTGCCCTCCACAGCCCATCAGTCCCTGTGCTCTTCCACCCAGCCTCCTGAATGTCTCCAATCTCCTCTCCTTCCCCACAGACCCCACCTGATTCAGCCTTCCGCTCCCACCTAGGTCTCTGCACCAGACTCCTCCCTGCTCGCCCAGCCCCCCAGGCTCACGGCTTCCATCCACCTTCTACTCTTATGGTGGTGATGCTCACCTCTGTCCAGCATCAGTCTCTCTCCTGACCTTCAGACCTGGCTGTCTAGCAGCCTCCTGGACCCCTCCCTGTGAAGTCCTCGGCTGCCTGCACTGTCTCCCTCCAAACCTACTCTTCTGCCCATGTTGGCATCTCAGGGATAGCCCCACTGTCCCAAGTCCTACAGGTCCAAGACACAAGCCTCATTCTGGGGATCTCCCTCCCTTCACCACCTCACCTCCGGCCTATCAGTCCAATTCCAGGCCCAGTTACATTCCATTCCCCACCTTTACAAGAACATGGCTTGGTCCTCCAAAAGAGCAGAGGCCAGAAGCAGGAAATGACAGATAACACACAGAGACAACAACCATCATAAGGGCAGGGCCTGAACCCGTGTTAACAACAGCAGCTACCACATACTGAGTCCTACCAGAGCCCAAACTCTTCACACTTCACCCATGGTTTCAAATTGCCGGTCCCAACCCAGTAACAGTCATGAAATCAACTTAGAGGGTCACATCCAGAACACTGTTTAAGACAAAAACAGGCTAGAACAGAATAAAAAACATCAGAGTATGTGACACATAGTAAGGCTAAATATCATTCGATGAAACTTTCAATATGTATTTAGTTTTTATATATGGATACGTATGTAGTTGACCCTTGAACAATGCAGGGGTTAGCAGCGCCGACCCCCCAGGGAACTGAAAATCCACATATAACTTGACTCCCCAAAAACTCAACTACTAATAGCCCACTGTTGACCAGAAGCCTTACCAATACCAAAAACAGTCGATTAACACGTTTTGTATGTTTTACGTATTATATACTATATCCTTACAGTGAAGGAAGCTAAAAAAATATCAAGCAAATCCTAAGGAAGAGAAAATATGTTTACAGTACTATACTGCATTTATCCAAAAAATCCATGTATAAGAAGACCTGTACAGTTCAAACCTGTGTTGTTCAAAGGTCAACTGTACACCTAGATACATGTATATATACATGAACACACACAAAACACACACATACATACGTGTAGAGAGAGAATGTAAAATATATGTCTACTTTTGTATCAAAGTTAGAAAAATACCATTACATTGCCTTGCTTTGTTTGTTCTTCTAAGACCCCAGCACACTTCCTGGTCCGTGACAGGAAAAGAGTTAACCGATGTTTAATGAACAGATGAGTGAATGAGGTGCTCTGCTACGCACCCACCCACGCACCTGTGGTGGAGCCCACAATGGCTGTATTCTGATCCACAGCCTCCAGAAACTGTCCGATGACCAGTGGGATGCTCTGGATTCGCTTCACCTCCTCCTGGGCATGGAGGAATTCCTTCTTCAGGTTCTTCTGCTCATCCTTGATGTACTCCTCCTGCACCTCGAGGAACTCTAGCTCTTGCTGCAGCTTCTGTGAGCGGAGAGGGGTAAGGTAGACGGTTGTCTCCGGTCCTGCTGAGCCAGGCAGCAGTGGAAGGTGGGGGGAGTATGGCATGCTGGGCCCTGTGCAGGGTCCAGACTGCAGTTGACTGTACCTTGTAGCGGCTGTACAGGTCCTCCAGGTCCTCGGGCTCAGGCCCCAGGAAGGAAAGGCCAGTCTGGGGCCGTGACACAGACAGTGCTGGGATCTCATCCTAGAACAAGGGAGAAAACTCAGATTGGAAAAAGAGCGTCCCCTCATGAAAAAATCTAGAGCACCCTCCCCACTCCACCATGAACCACTCGGCCCCTAACAGGCTCCTGACATCATTCAGCCCCTCTAAATAGACTCTACAAGCTTCTCAGTCCCCTAAATAGGCTCCTGATGTCACCTAGCCTCCAAGAGGGCCCCTTTGTCAACTAGCTCCCCAAACAGTATTTTACTATCATACGCCCCTTGTAACATATCCCCAAGTATCAACCTGACTCCCAACTAGGGCCTAAAGGTCACATCAACTCCTTACCGGACTCCAATGCCTCTTAGCCCCCCTCAACAAGTTCCTAGTATCACACGACTATCTCATTATAGGCTCTCAAAGTCACCTTCGAACATTCTAACATTACCCAGTTTTCCTCAAAAGATCCCTCATGTCACAGAACCCGAACTCAAATTAGGTCCTCATGTCATCCAGTTCCCTAGGTCGGCCGCAAACATCACTCGGCGAGACCACAGATATTACGAAGCCCCCCAACACCAGCGAAGCCCCGAACGTCAGTCAGCTCCCCGGCCCCGCCTTGAGACATCATTCCGCCCACGGCCAAGTCCCCTATCACTCACACCCCGACACAGCCGCAGCCCCGCCGGGCCACCGATATCACTAAGCACTCCTAGCTAGCCCCCGAAATCATTCCGTGCCAAAGAACCTGTAACGTCACTCATTCCTGCCGCCGCGCGTTCTGAGCCTTACTGCCCTCCTCACATCATTCAGCCACCGAGCCAGGCCTCGGGGCGGCATAGAACTCTCCACCGAGGCCTCCAGAACCAGCCAGACCCGGGCCGGAAATCCCCCAGCCACTCAGCACCCCACGCAGGTCGGCCTCGCCCTCTCCCCGCCAGCCCGGCCGCACCGGACCTGAGCTTTCTCCACCAAGATGCCTATTTCCTCCATAGTGACCAAGCCGGCCTCTGTGTGGCCGAGCCAGATCCAGTCACCGCTTCCGCCGACGCTGCCGGAAGACTAGGGCCTCAGTGGATTCTGGGAAACGTAGTTTAACACTTCGCTAGGGAGTGCTGGCTGGGCCGCAAAGGATGGAGGGAAGGGAAGTCTTCGTCCTGGGCTCCGGCCCCAAGACAAGTTTAGGCACCCTCCTTACCTGGGCTGGGGGCGGTGCGCGTGCGCAGTAATGCGTGGTGGCACCATCTCGAGCGGCGTCCGCGCGCGGTTTTTCTCGCCAGTAGGCGGCGCTGCTTCCTTGCTTTTTCAGTTGAGGAACCGATCCGTCCGGGAGAGCTTGGTGGCCAAGTGCTGGTGGCGCTCATTTAGTGGCGGGGCAGCAGATGCTTTGGACGGGGTTCCCCAGAGGTGTTCCTTTAGGAGATCTAAATGTGGGCAGCGCCCGAGGATTGTCCCCCGCGTGGGGGCGGGAAGCACCGGGCTCCAGCCTGGGGGTTGATATGCTGTGGGCCAGGAGCGAAGGCTGGAGAAAGAATTCTTGAGACGTTTTTGGTGGAAGAAGGTGCTTTATTGTATCAGGGGGACAGCACCCGTGGGCAGGAAAAGCTGCACTTGTGTTTGTGAGGAGTGACTGATTAAATACCTTCTAGGTTGGGGGGGACGGTGCTAAGGATGGAGTAAGTCTAAGGAATTTGGAAGTAAAGCTTTCAGGACCTTGAGGGGCTAGCTGCTGCTAAGATAAGATTATTTACTAATACCTAGTAAAACATCAGTCTTGAGGCTCTTCAGATGTGTATCAGTGGGCCATATGATCTGGAGGTCGTTGCAAATATATCTTGGGGAGTGTTTATAGCGATCAGAGAAAGTGACACTAACAAGAGGAAAGCTATGGTGGTAAAAGCAACGGAGGAAGTCCTTGAGAGCTGTAGGAGTGTAACAGTCTGTAAGCCTCAGGAATTCCAGCCCCGGGAATGCGAGCCTCAGCGAAGTGTGGCCTGGTTTCTTTTTCTCCCATCAGGGTTGAGGAGCCCCAAGCCTGCGTTACTGGTTAGCAGTGAATCAGGTAGAAACCAGGGAGAAAATGAGGCAGCCGTGCCAGGCGTTGGGCCCGAGGGAGACCTGCAGACCTATCTATGCCAGGCCCTGCCTAAGTCATAGGTGGCTCAATTCACTGAATCTTGGTAGACAGTATGTTATCCTTTTACAGAGAAGGACACAGGCTCAGAGCTTTGAAGCTACTTGCCTGTCACAAGGGTCAGAGTGTGGAGCCCCGGATCTGTCTGTCCCCACAGCCCCTGCTTCTGGCCCCAGGGATACACTGCTCAGTGTTTGTTGAGTAAACATTTTATTTTAGTATAAATACAGATAAGTCTACAAATCATTAGCGTGACATTCAATGGCTTTACACAAAGTGAACACACCAGTATAACCAGTACTCAGATCAAGACATCAAACATTAGGTGCCCCCCACAGGCTCTTTTCCTGCCACACCATCCCCTCTGAAAGTTTTCCCTTTTCTGATCTCCAGCAGCCTGGATTACCTTTGTCTGTTTCAATCCACGTAGTGCCTACTGTGTATTTGGCTTCTTTTTACTTGACATCACATTTGTGACATCCACATTGCACAGAGGAATAGTTCCTTCATTTTCATTTCTGTCTGCTTTCCATTGTGTGAATATGCCTCAAAATGGATATTTTCCAGCTTGAGGTTATTCTGGTGCTATGAAAGTTCTCGTCCATTTCTTCGATAGACATCTGGGTATACCCCGAAGAGTGGAATTGCTGGTCAAAAGGCAGGTGTGTGTTTGGCTTTAGTAGACACTATCAAACTCTACTAACTTACACTCCCACCACTCATTGCACACGCTTGATATTGTCTCTTTTAAATTTTTTTTTTTCCATTCTGGTGGGTGTGCTGTGGGTTGTCACACCAGACACCATTTGTGCACTTACTTTTTGCCGGGCACTTTCCAAACTCAGGATCCTTACAACACCCTCAGAGGTAGATTTGCTTTTCCTCATTTTACAGATGAGGCAACGGCTCAGACAGGGGAAAGTCACTTCCACTAAGTCACAGAGAGAATTAGTGGCTCCTGCTCGGTGCCAGCCCTGTGCTAGGGGGACCCAGAAATCAATCAGATCTGGCCCCTGCCTTCTTTGTTTCAAGTCCCAGGACTTTTATGTCCGCAAAAAAAGGGAAACAACGATGACCGCCAATCTTCTCTTCTTTCTCTGCATTGACAACCCTTAGTTCTGTCTTCCATATCTCTGTCTCCCCCAAAAGGCATCCCAATTTCTACTTAAGTCTTAGAATCTATCTTTTCAAACAGGGACTCATCATCCCCTTTCTTGCTTCTTGTTCTCTAGCTTCCCAGTTTCTAGACTTCAGACTCAAACCTATGTGATGGCCTTGCCTTTACTCCCCCAAGTCCCATCAAACCATCACCGAGCTCTCTCTGTCATCTTCGGCAATGATAAATCAATGAGTTGCTTTGGAGTTTTTATGCATAACAATTATAAGTAACCATTTCCTGAATACTGACTGTGTACCTGGTTCTTTGCTAAAACACTTTATTGTATCATCTCATTCAATCCTCACAACAACCTTACGAAGCAGGTAGTGAAAGTAACCAACATTTATACAGAATCTTTACGTTCTGCCAGGGACTCGTAAGTGTTTCATACACATCATCTGATTTAATCTATTAAAGGGGGATAGATAGATAAAACATCTTACTTCCTACTTTCTCAGGTCTGACATAAGATACCAGGCTCAGAGAGGCGAAGTCGCTTGGCCAACATCACACAGCACGAAAATGGTAGAGCTGGTATTCAAATCCAGAACCTGGGCTCTCTTAACCTCATGTGATAGTTATCGTTTGGATTTGCAGATGATCTGCAACAAGTAAGATAGTCATCCTCAAGCAGGAGGACATCACTTTATTGAGGGAGCAAAGCTAGACCCACCTTTACCTTATTTTAACATTATGACCCTTCCTCCCATCTTCCAGTTAAGAACCACCCATCTAGATCATTTAACAGATGAGCAGACTAGAACCAGGAGGATCAGGCCAGCTGACTAAAATTTCTCCCTCCTGGCTCAAGTCCAGGGCTTTCTTCCTCTAAATGACCCTGCTTTCTGACACAAGTCCTGAGCAGCTCTTGTGTTGAGTGAAGGCGTTCCCAGATCTGGGTCTTCAGAGCCCTGCATGAGGCTGGGTGCATACGGGAGCCAGCAGATAAGTAAGAAAAGACAGCTGGACTGGCAGAGAACCTATTCCTCTTCTACAGAGAGCAGCTGAACTCCAGCCATGAGAGCCATGCCGGAATGTGGGCCCCACTGTTGCCAGATCTGATGTTTCAAGAAAGTCAAGAATCCAGATTTTCAAGTGAAATCTTCTAATTTTTAAATCTTGACAATAACTTCAAACACTTAAAAACACCATGCCACAGGGTGCCTGGGTGGCTTGATTGGTTAAGTGTCCAACCTTTGATCTCAGCTCAGGTCTTGATCTCATGAGTTCAAGCCCCACATTGGGCTCCATGCTGGGTGTGGAGCCTACTTAAAAACAAACAAACAAACAAAAAACACGCACCATGCAGGCCAAACAAAGTGGGCTTCATACAACGGATAGATGACCCCTGATCTAAACTCATCCTGTCCCCAGCATTGCCATCAAAGGCCCAGGAATGAAAAGCTTTACTCAGTCCCAGGGTGGAAGTGGAGGGAAGGGTCTGAAACATTGAGAAGGCAGTAAGAATATGAGGTAAAGGATGAATAAGGATGAAACTCAGGGAAAAGCAAGTGTAAGTATCTAACAATAGCTGATTTGTTAAAGAAACTGAACTCTCTTTTATTATAGAGCATGACTCGGTTTTTAAAAGTGGTGTAGAAAATTTAACGGTGTGCCATGTGTTCACAAAATATGTAACACCTGAAAGAAAAAAGAGATGACAAAGCAATAAGTATAACCCCTTTAAAAATCTTTTTATTCTGGGGGCACTGGGTGGCTCAGTTGGTTGAGCATCTGCCTTCAGCTCAGGTCATGATCTCAGGGTCCTGGGATCGAGCCCCACGTCAGGCTCCCTGCTCAGCGGGGAGCCTGCTTCTCCCTCTCCCTCTGCCGCTCTCCCTGCTTGTGCTCTCTTGCTCTCTTACTCGCTCTATCTCTCAAATAAATAAATAAAACTTTTTGTTTTGTTATTTCAGTTACAGAAAACTTATAAGAATGGTACATACTCTTTGCCCAGATTCCCCAAATGTTATCATCTTAAACATGCTTTATCATTGTCTTTTTCTCTATATGTGAATCCTTTTTCCCATATATGCATTCTTATATGTGTGTGTGTATAATACACATACATGTTACACATATATCTTGCCATACACACACACACGTATTTTTTTTAAGATTTTATTTATTTATTTGACAGAGAGATAGAGAGCACAGTAGGCAGAGCGGGAGGGAGAGGGAGAAGCAGACTCCCCACTGAGCAGGGACCCCGATGTGGGGCTCAATCCCAGGACCCTGGGATCACGCCCTGGGCCGAAGGCAGCCACTTAACCGATGAGCCACCCAGGCGCCCCACACACATGTATTTTAAAAACAACAAATGGAATTTTTGTTTGGATTGCATTAAATTTATAGATCAATTTGGAGAGAACTGGCATGTTAACAATAATGAGTCTTTGCATCCATGAATATAGTATGTCTCTCCATTTATTTAGTTCTTTGATTTCCTTCATTGGTGTTTTGTCCCTTTCAGCATACAGATTCTGCACATATTTGGCGATTTATACAGGCATACCTTGGAGATATTGCAAGTTTGGTTACAGATCATTGCAGTAAAACAAATATTACAATAATGTTAATCGAATGAAGTTTTTGGTTTCCCAGTGCATATAAAAGTTATGTTTACATTATAATGTAGTCTATTATGTGTGCAATAGCAGTATGTCTTAAAAATGTACATACCTTAATTTAAAAATACTTTATTGCTGAAAAATGTTAACCATCATCTGAGCTTTCAGTTAGTCATA